AGCCACCGCTTCTTCAAAATCCTGCTTGAACTTCTGGTAGTTCCCAATCTATGTACTGTTCTAGCCATTTTTAAATGATCTTCAGCAGTATCTTGCTTGCATGTGATATTAATGATACTGTTTGATGGTTGGATTCTGGAAGGTAGGTTGTTTTTATTTAGATGTAGGTTTTTTGGTCTTTTTAAAATTTAATTAACAATCAATTGTGGGCTGGAAGCCTCTTGTTTAAACCAGTTAGGACCTTTGTAATTAAAAGTTGGTTGGGCCCAAGAGGTCAGGTCTGGCATGAGGACTGATTAACTATGTCCTTAAGCATAATTTTCCTGAAATTCATTCATGTTGTACCATGTTTAATGAATGTCTCATTATTATTCAGTGTCGTGTAATATTTCCTTTTGTGTGATAGATTCTTCAGTTATCTGTCCATTGATAAGACACTTAAATTGCCCATTTGCTATTGTCCAGTGAACATGTTATTGTTGTTAGGTGATGCTAAGTCAAGCATGGCTCACAGTGACCTTCTGAATCACAGACCTGAGCCATGTCCTGTCCTACACCATCTCCATCATCTGACATACATGAGCCCACTGCTGTAGTCACTGTGTCAATCCACCTCTTCAGATTTTTTTCCCTTTCTTTTACTGATCCTTCACATTTCCAAGTATGATGTACCTTTCCAAGAAACAGTGTTTTTTAGCCACATGCACAGGTATGAGAGATATAAAGTTTCACCATCTTAGCCTCCAAGGAGCACTCTGCACTTTATTTTTACAAGAAGGAAAATCTTATCTGTTTGTTCTTTTGGCAGTCCAGCCATTGTTTAGTACTCTTCTTTAAGACCACAACTCGAAGGCATAATTGTTCCTCTGTCATTCTTATTCACTGTCTAGTTCTCCGATGTTACCCTGCTCTGTTCTGACTACTGCCTCTTGGTCCAAGTACAGGTTTCGCATTAGCATAATTAAATGTTCTGGGATTCCCATTCTTCTCAGAGTCAGCCACAGTTTGCTATGATCCACACAGTCAAATGCCTTTGCATAATCAATGAAACACTGATAGACATTCTTCGGGTATTCTCTGCTTTCAGCCAAGATCCATCTAACATCAGCAACAATATCCCTAGTACCACAACCCCTTCTAAACGCAGCCTGGACTTCTGGTAGTTCTCTGCTGATGCGCTGTTCTAATTGTTTTTGGATAATCTTCAGTAGAATCTTGCCTGCATGTGAAATCAATGACACTGTTCTGTAGTTTCCACACTCAGTTGGGTGACCTTTCTTTGGAATGGGAACAAATATAGATCTCTTCCAGTCAGTTGGCCAAGTGGTTGTTCTCCAGATGTCTCTCTGGAGACTAAGGTGCGCCTGATACGGGCCATGGTATTTGCAATTGCTTGTTATGCATCAGAGAGTTGGACAATGACTAGGGAGGACAGAAGGAGAGAGGATGCTTTTGAGCTGGGGTGCTGGAGAAGAGTACTGAATGTACCATGGACTGCCAGGAAAACAAACAGATTCATCTTGGAGAGGATTAAACCAAGCTACTCCTTGGAGGCAAGGATTCTGGGGCTTCGTCTGACATACTTAGGACACGTTGCAAGGAGGGACGGGTCCTTGGAGAGGGACATCATGCTTGGGAGGGTGGAGGGACAGCGCAGGAGGGGAAGACCCTCTATGAGATGGATTGATTCGGTGACTGGGGTAATCGGGACAGGTGTGTCAGAGGCCGTGTGGTTGGCGCAGGATAGAGCAGGGTTTAGGGCTGTTGTGCATAGGGTCACTATGAGTCGAAAACGACTCGACAGCACATAACAACAACAACAGTTCTCAGATGCATAGCATGTGATTGAAAAGACTGAATCAGGCACACCTTAGTCTTCACACTGACATCATTGTTCTTCACTATTACACAGAGGTCCCTGACAGCAGACTTGCCCAATGCAATATATCTCCTGATGGTTGATATCAAGGGTGTTGACTATTGATAAAAGCAGAATGAATGACTGACAACGTCAATCTTTTCCCTGTCTATCATTATGTTCCTATTGGCTTATGGGTGAGGACTTGTGTTTTCTTTTTTAGTTTTATTAAGATTTTAATGAACGTTTATAAAGAACTTGGGTTTCCAATCCTTACTGACTTATGTTTTCTTGTTGTTGATACGTAATCCATACCAAAGGCTGGAATTGTTTCAAATCCTTCTCACTTTCAGAAAGCAAGGTTGTGTCATCTGCACAATGTAGGTTGTTGACGAGTCTTCTTCCAATTCTGATGCCACACTCCTTTTCAGAGTCCAGGTTCATGAATTATTTGCTAGCATACATGTAGAATAGGTATAAAGAAAGGATACATCCCTAGCATATATCCTTCCTGATTTTAAACCAAGCAGTGTCCCCTTGCTCCATTCGGACAATGGCTTTTTGATCTAGGTATACATTTGACCTTAGCACAATTAAGTGTTCAGAAATTCCCATTCTTTTTAATTTTAGTCATAGTTTCTTCTTATCCATACAATCAAGTACCTTTGCATAGTCAATAGAACACAAACAGATGATACTATCCATATGCATACAAAGAGAGCTTGTCAATATGATTATTATTCAAATATATGCCCAACAACGAAACCTAAAGGGGAAGAAGTTGAGGATTTCTACCAACTTTTGCAGTTCCAAACTGACCAAACATGTGATCCAGATACATTAATAATTACTGATGATTGGGATGCAAAAGTTAGAAACAATGAGGAAGGAATGGTAGTTGGAAAGTAGGGATGTGGTGGCAGAAATGAGGCTGGATACTGCATGACTGAATTTTGTATGTTCAATGGGAGTGCAGCTCTTTACCACTAGGCCACCAGAGCTTGATTTATTCACAGCAACTATCACTGACTGGCGACAGTTTGTTATGATCCACACAGTCAAATGACTTTGTATAATCAATGAAACAAAGAGTCTTCTGGTACTTCTTGCTTTCAGCCAAGATCCTGCTAACATTAGCTAAAATATCCCTAGTACCATGGCCCCATCTAAATCCAGCCTGCACTTCCGGTAGTTCTCTGTTGATGTGCTGTTTCAGTCATTTTTGGATAATCTTCAGCAGAATCTTGCTTGCATATGATATTAATGATATGGTTCGATAATTTCCATACTCTGTGGGATCACCTTTCTTTGGAATGGGAACAAATATAGATCTCTTCCAGTCAATTAGCCAAGAGGTTGTTCTCCAGATTTCTTGCTCCAACTTGGTAAGCACAGCTAGGGCAGCATCTGTTAACTGAAATAAGTCAATTGGTATACCATCAATGCCTGGGGCCTTATTCTTAGTCAATTCTTTCAAAGCAGTCTGAACTTTTTCCTTCATCATCATAGGCTCTTGCTCATATGTTGTTTCATTAAATTCTTCTGTGTCTGCCAATTATTTTTGGTATAATGACTCTGTATACTCTTTCCATCTGGTGAAGAGATTGAAATTGTTCACAGTTTTGGTTTGCTTGGATGCACAGCCAACACTCTTGGCACCAGCAGTCAGTAAACTAAAAGACGTATTGTTATGGGAAAGTCTGCAGTTAGAGACCTCTCTAAAGTGCTGAAGTGCAAAGAAGTCAGTCTGGAGACTAAGGTGCACCTGATACATGCCATGGTCTTTCACTTGCTATGTATCAGAGAGCTGGACAATGACTAGGGATGATAGAAGGAGAATTGATGCCTTTGAGCTGTGGTGTTGGAGAAGAGTGTTGAATATACAATGGACTTCTAGGAAAACAAAGGGGTTTGTCTCGGAGAGGGTGAAGCCAGGCTGTTCCTTGGAGGCAAGGATGCTGAAGCTTCATCTGACATACTTTGGGCATGTTGCAAGGAGGGTCCAGTATTTGGAGAGGGACGTCATGCTTGGGAGGTTGGTGGGACAGCGCAGGAGAGGAAGACCCCGATGAGATGGACTGAGTCAGTGACTGGGGTAATAATGGGGTCAGGTGTATCAGAGATGGTGAGATTGGCACAAGATAGGGCAGAGTTTAAGGCTGTTGTATATAGGGTTGCTATGAATCGCAGGCGACTCGACGGCACATAACAACAACAACAACATCACTGACTGGCGGCAATGGACACAGGTGTACACGTGTGTATTGGTGTTGGGCTCTTATTTTTTTAGGATGTATTTCTAATCTTGAGATTGCTAGATCGAACAGTATTTCTATTACCAGCTTTCTAAGGAAGCATCAAATTGTTTTCTACAGAGATTGCACCAATCTCTTTAAACTTTTCTTTTTTGTTGTTAAATTTTGTGGTATCCTTTAAGGTACATACGGATTTAATTTTTAAGTTAATATTATCTAGTTTATCCTCTGTTGATTGTACATTTTCAATAATATTTGTTATACCATAGATTCAGGTTCATAAATTTGACCCCCTTTTTCTTTTTGTGCATGAACTTTCTAGTTTTAGGTTTTATACCTACGTTCTTTTTTTTTTTCTTCCTTGATTCATGCTGAGTTAGTGTTTATTGTAGACGGTATGAAGGATTTTTTTTTCAATTTTCCACAAATAGATATCCAGTACTGCCAGCACCTCTTGGTGAAAGGTGCTCTTTCTCCCATTTAATGGATTTCATCTCTTTGTCAAAGATCAGTTGTCTATATATGGATGCATTTATTTCTGCATTCTCAGTTCTAACAGATTCACTAGGTATTGTGCTGGTAAGCCAGTCGAGTAGGGCTTAGAGCAGTCACTGACCTCTGTGGTGTAAATACTTCTACCACATAGGACTTCAAGCTATTATAGCAGATCCCCAAAAGAGGAGCTCAATTTATTTTGGGTCTCACAGATTTCATGTTTATTTTAATGGCTGAGGTACACTACACAAATGTGAATGTACAACCCTCTTTTTGAGTAAATCAAATTCAACCCTCAATGAGTGGCCTGACCGTCCCCTCAGACCTTATCTTCTCAATACACGGTGAAAGAACACAGTGAGAGGAATGCAGAGTCTCCTCTCAGCACTTACAGGCAGTGCACCACTGTGCGGCCCTCCCCGCCGTTGTACTCCTCCTGCCACTTGTCCACCTGGCGTATGAGCTTCAGGAAGGACCGTTTGGACACCGGCGTGTCCCTGTACATGGGCCAGCCCAGGAACTGGAACTGCTGTACCATTCGGTACCCGTCTTGGGGCTGTGGAGTCAGACAGCAAACAAAGAGGGCAAACAAAGAGGCGTGATTTACTTTATCAAATTCATGTGGGCTGAGTCCCCATATTTGATCTTCTCATCCAGGCAGGATATTAATAAAAGAGAAGTCTGTCTATACATAATGAACCTAGCATCTACTGGCCTGGGAGTTATGGCTTTAGATTCCAATTTATTATTAAAAAGAAACCAGGCACTTTCAATGAATAGGCCAGAGCAGTGAGAATGAAGCAGAATACTTAACTGTCTTGCAAAAGCAAAGGAACACCATAAACATTTACCACATTGTGCATTACGTGGTAAAATGGCTTTAATTTATTTCCTGGTAAATAACAGTATAGGATGACTGGAATCTGGAGATGTCTGCAAGCTCATTGTGATATGGATTGCACTGTAATATGATTTTGCTTATTAGTCAGATTTCCTATGATATCAATAGTTCGTTAATCTTGTCTAATAATTAAATAGAGTTGCAGTATTCAAAAAAGCGCTGCTTTATAGATAAACAACAAGCATATTCTATTGTGACCCTGATGAAGTTGCTCGAACCGGCTCCCTCAGCAGCATTGGCGGCCCACCTGGATCTTAGCTCCCTCTGCTCTGGGCTGTTTCTCCTCCTCACGGCACTTTCCATTTCAGCCTCTCCTCTTTTCCCTGGCTTCGCACAGGTGGGTGCCCAGGTACATGCATCATCTCTTCACTATTCCCTACATTGATGGTTCCATTCCACTTTGTGGATTTACATACCATGATTATCACAGGAAATCATGAACTCGTATCTTCAGTCCAGACCTTTGCCCTGAATTTGCCCTCAAACACTCAGTTGTCATGTCACTCACATGCCTCTTAGTCATCTTGAGCCTGAAATGTCCTGGATTGAACGCAATACTTCCCTGAACCCTAATTCCACCATGCCCACAGCTTTCATACTCCAGAGCCTGCCCAACCATCTTCTCAGTTGTTCGGACACTCTCAAGGGTCATCCTTGACTTGACCATTGCACACTTCAGGATCTCCTGATTGTTCCTACCCTACTCATGCAGTTCTGCTCCTAGCCATTGTCCATTCTCATTGGGGTGATTCCAACAGCTTCTGGCTGGTCTCTTTCATGCCATGTAGCTTTCCCCACAGAGGTGAGAGTGCGCCCTGTAAAATGTAACCTGCAGCATTCCTTAGTCCCTCTTGACTATGCCCACATGGCTCTACTGGCCTTTACTCCCTGGCTCTCCCACAGCCTTGCCCTCTGGGTAGTCTGCTGTCATCAGTGCCACACCAATACCTTGGAGCCTCATGGACAAGACCTCCCTGAACAGATCCCCATTACAACTTTGCACTGATCGTCACATGAGCTGGAGCGTCTCAGCCACCCTGCTCCCTCGCATCCTGCAGGGCTTGGTTCAAACAGCAGGAACTATTTATAAGAGACTGGCTTTCAGTCCTGGCCATTGCCCCCATACTCTCTACCCCTTTTTTGCTTTTAAGCAGCATTTATACCTTCTAACTATATATAGATTACTAGATCTATTCTTTCTTGTATCGTCGCTTTAGAAAATGCAAGTGTCATAAGGTCAGGGAGCCATGTATTCCACTGATTTTTTCTAAACTCTGAGAACAGTGCTGGGCACAGAGAAGGCTCTCTAAATCTTTGAGAGATGAGAAAACAGTAAATCCTAAGAAGTGGCACTGACTAGGATTCTTACCCGCGCTGCATTGTAGATGCGGAATATTCTGCTGATGATGTCCTCTTCCAAGTCAGCAGAAACAAACTCCACCTGGATGGGACCGTGCCTGTGGACACCGTTTTCTGGCCAGTACTGGGGACATAGCTGGATTTAAAACAGAAAGGCCAGGTCAATTTAAAAGAATAATTGTCCTCCTAACAGACTGCACAAGGTTGGTAACATCTAATAATTCTCAGTATTTCACTGACTCAAGTCACTGTCTTTTCTCTCCTCCGGCACTAAAACTTCATGTCTTGGCTGATTCCCCAACTCCAGCTGTCCTTCTAAGTAACTCTTTCACTCATTTTTCAGAAAACTCCCTCTACACATGAACCATTCTGTTTTCCAGGGAGGTTGTATGGATGCAGTGTAACACACGCCCTTTCATAAGATCGCACACATGCTAATTACAGAGATGCCACTGAGATGAGTCTGACTCAGTGATGCAGCAGATAGAGAACTCTCCAGAGGTTTCTGAAGTTACAGGGCTTGATGGATGGAGCCCACCTCCTCTTTCCTCTGGATGGTGGCTGATCAGTTCTGACTGCAGACTTTTTGAATAGCAGATGAATGCTGTAACTCCGGACCACCAGAGCTGAAAGCAAGCTGAAAGTAACTCTTATTGGGTGCTAGAGAGATGGTGCTATTATAGGAGTCAAGGCCTCTTTGACATGTCTCTTCATATGGAAGGCTCCACCCCACACTCTCCAGGCCTGCACCATAGATTATAATACGTGTTATGAATAGGATTATAACGCTACATGGAGAACCATGATGGGTTACATTTTCAAATGCTCCCACTTTTGAAGTAGGGAATGGTAAAAATGATGGTAAAAGGAGCAATTGGGAGGTTTTAATTAGAACTACAATCCCTAGGGCCTCACGTGCCAGGCTTTCATGACACTGAGTAACTGAATGTGGCATGCCATTTTGTGTGATGGCGGTGATGCTGGACTTCATGGTATATGAGAGTGGCACTTACTTTCCACAAAACACTACCTTGTCCATAAATGTACCAACCTTGGAAAATGGCAAGAGGGGAAGTGCCAAAGAGATTGCTTCTCCTTAAATACTGTTCCTAACAGACCATGATACAACACAACACAGCACAAAAACACCACCACAATGACAGCAGAAAAGGCCCTGAAGCTCTGACAGGCTTTAAAGTTTGAAATTCAACTTGTGTTGGGATTTGGTATTCCACTGACATTCTTCAGAGTAACCTTAACCTCATCTTTCTAACACACCTGAGGGATCACTGCTTATAGGAAGGCAAGAGGGGACTCAGTTGGTTATTTTATAACCTAGTGGGCCCAGAGCAGATCACCTAATTTTAAGGAAAATGGTGAGTGAGTCTATGCACCACAGAAAAGCCATTGCTGGATTTCATTTTTAGATAAATTTTATTTTCCAAAAAATCTAAAATTTCATTGATGAAGGCTGTAAAGATTTAATTTTAATCTACTTTTCCAGTTAACAGTAGTTCAACCTAAACTGCAACATTTCTGATTAAGACAGAGTAGCTTAACAAAGGATATATTTTACGTTATTTTAGGAATCACATTTATTTTGCCCATCTGGTGCAGGACTTCTCTTAGGAATTTCTTTTATTTTGTATATCAAATTTACCAGCAAATATATTTTTCTGGTTTTATGGCAACTATATAAGACAGTGACCTAGTTAATGTCTGACTAATAGCCTTTTTCATTTTTAAATTTTAAAAAGGTTTTTATTACCCTCTCTCTTCATTCCTTTTAACTCTCCAAGATTGATTCTGTATGTAAACTTCTTCTTAGCTTTTTATTTTGGTAAAATAATTGCACTTTAGTCATGGACTATGCCATTCAGCTCTATTGTGCAGGATTTCACAATTTTTTAGTCTCGTTTTGTTGTTGTTGGTATGTGCCATTGAGTCACCTATACTGTGATTTGAGAAGTTGTGGTACAATCATACAATGGAATACTACGCAGCATGCGGGAGCAATGATTTTATAAATTACTACCTAACTTGGGAGGGACTGGAAAGCATTATGCTGAGTGAACTAACTCAGTCCCATAAGGAAAAATACTGTATAAAACCATTATTGTAGAATGAGTATGAGGATCCAAGGGGGGGCGGTGGAAAAAGAGGAGTGAGGATGGGGGTGGGTAGGCTGTTAATCACAGGGTTGCACAATTTGGTGGGTGGGTTGACTGAAGGAAATGGGAAAGATCTTTTGTGAAAAACAATACAAACTTTGTAAACAAATCAGTATAAAATAAAAAAATATATAAACTTTAATAAAACAATGGAAAAAACCTCTCAAAACAAAAACATGGGTGTGACTATGTCAGTTTGTGCTGAAATTATTATTTCTTTGGGATAGATATATACCTAGTAGTGATATTGGTGAGACAGAATTTCTTTTCCCAAGTTTCCAGGGAAACACCAAACTGCTTACCACAGTACCATAGTGGTTGCACCAGTTACAGTCTTACTAGCCGTGCATGAGAGTTCAAGTCTTTGCACACCCCTCAACAGCATTTGTTGCTTGACTTTGAAATGCAGCATTTACTGCATTTGTTCAGTAACTGAACACTGCTTTTTCAATGACTGTGTGGACCATAACAAAAAACAGCCCAATTATGGTTAACATTAAGAAGAATAGGAATCCCAGACACTTAACTGTGCTTACATGAAACCTGTACCTAGATCAAGAAGCTACTGTCTGAACAGAGAGAGGGAACTCTGCATGGGATAAAATCAGGAAGGGTTTGTGTTAAGGGTATATCCTTTCTTCATACTTATTCAAGCTTTATGCTGAGCTGTACTCTATGGCATTAGGATTGGAGGAAGACTCATCAACAACTTGTATTATGCAGATGACACAACCTTGCTTGCTTAAAGTGAGGAGGACTTGAAATACTTGCAGAAAATCAAAGACTATAACCTCAACAATTATTTTGGTAAAATAATTGCACTTTTGTCATGGACTATGCCATTCAGCATATGTGTTCTACTTTCCTTTTATTGTGCAGGATTTCACAAGGATCTTCATCACTGGCCCAACAGGCAACATCATTATATATGGAGAAAAGACTGAAACTGTCAATGATTTAATCTTACTTGGATCCATAATTAATACACTTGGTATGAGCAGTCAGGAGATCAGGAAGCATATTGCTTTGGGCAAGTGCACAGTCAAGGACCTCTCCATAACACTGAAGAGCAATGATGTCAGTTTGAAGACCAAGGTATGCCTAAGTCAAGCCGTATCTTTTCAGTCCCTTGCTATGCATTTGAGAGCTGGACAACAGATACCAGAAGAATTATTGATGTCTTTGAGTTGTGGTGTTGGATAAGAGTACTGAGTATTTCATGACAGTCAAAAGAACAAATATGTTTTAGGAAAATTACAGCCAGAGTGCTCCTTTAGAGGCAAGGATGGTGAAGCTTCATCTCTCATTCTGTGAACATGTTGCTAGGAGAGGTCATTACTTGGAAAGGTAGAGGATCAATGAAAGAGAAAATGATCCCCAACGAGATGGCCTGACATAGTGATTTCAGCAATGGGCTCTACTGTGTCAGAGATGATAAGGATGCCACTGGATTGTTCACAGGTTTGCTATGAGCCATACTCTACTCATTGGCACCTAAGAATATTTTTAACAGAGGAAACTTAGGGTACTTATTAATAAAAAGTGCAGCTAGCCCAAAGGCACATGGTTTGACTCTACAAGTTTCTCTGTTGAAGAAAGATGGGCAATCTCTTCCTGTATGATTTATAGCTTCTGAAAACCCTCTGGAGGGTCATCTGTGAGTTAGTTCCAGCTCAATGGTGCACACCACCACCACCACCACCACATTTTTACTAGAGTGAGATAATATCTCATTGTTGTTTTGATTCAGGTCTTCCTAACAGGTAACTAACTATCTTATGCAATTCTTTGTGTGTTGGTAAATCTGAATGTTGACTTTTTAGTTATTTTAAGAAATACTTCCATGAAAGTTTCCTTTCTCCACCAGCATTTCCTGGAGATGAGTTTATTTTATTTCTGTTACCCAGTGTGTACCCATTTCTAAATTTATGAGGCTGAGAAGGTCACAAAAGCTGTAACAGGTACACGTGAACTATCTCCCTCTTTGTCTCCCAACTTGGAGATCTGCTACCTGCTTTTTCCTCCTCCTGAGCTCTTGAGTATGAGCTGGGCACTTACCCGAGAAATATGAATGGCCTGGGACGGGGTGTGGCTCTTGGAATTCAGTTTTTTTCCCCTACCCTTTGCCCAAGTTAACAGGGTAGAAAATAGCTTAAATGGTGCATAACACATCTTTGAGCCGGACCTATAAATACTTAAAAAAGCTGAGAGCTATTCTTGTACAACTACAAAGCCTTTAGATTCAAATTCTCAGTTTAGGAGTCTAAGAGCCTGAATCCCAGGAGCATGCTTCCTTGTCTGCTGTCTGCTGAACTGAACTGGGTCCTTGTCTTGTCAACCACAGGCAGCCATCTGTTGGTTTGAGTCCAGATAGTTTGAATTTAGAAAGAAGCTTTAGAATTAAAATATCATTTGTTATAAAAGAACATTAAACATGTTAAAAAAGCATTAAAGACTTGTTCATGGATATAAGCAAAAGTAGTTATATCACTGTATTTCAGGATTTACATAAGGAAACAGTAAAAGAAGCAAACATAAGACACAAAGCACAAAACAGGACAGTTTTATATAAGGACCACATCCTTATCCTTCACTGTCTGTTACAAAATAATCTTCAACCAGTGAAATTCAACCCATGGCATTTTAAAGGAGAAAACCAGGTTACTTGGCTCCATTTTTAGCTGTGTTTTTGGTGGGTTCTGACCCATGGTATCTGCATGTCTTTGTGGATGTCTGCAATCTATGTATCTGTCCTTCTGAGTGGATCAGTAAAGTAGTCCTAAATATTTAAATTTATTAGTTCAAAGGATGAAATAAGTATGAAGAGTGTAATTATTTCATTAACTAGTTTTCAGGAGTCAATATGTTTTCCTCAAACATAATTAAAAACATTAGTGAATGTGGTTTAACATTCTTGCATTTATTTGCAGATTGATGGCCATAAAACAGGTATTAGAAAGGACAAATATCTACTCAGAAGCAGAAATAATGAAAATAGTAGTAAAAATGAAATTAACTATATTTCAGAATAAGTTCATTCTTAAAACACGACTAACGCAAACTTTCAAGAACACCCTCTACATGGTGATTATGTCTGTTAGTGTCATAACTAAACCTCAAAGTATCAAAGCCCACAAGGAATCCAGTTCTCACAGGCCCACTGCACTAATCCTCACTTGACAACTTCCTTTAGGAAAGCCTTTCTAACTTCATATTCATTCTTCTCCTTAATGTTTAAGAATTAGAGATAGATTTTTAAATAATCCATTTATCCTTGATGTTTTTTTATTTCCAAACTTCAGATTATTTGTAAAAAAGACAAAATCACTTACTGTCCCTTAAGATAATGTCACTTGTTTGTGCACTCCCTTGTCATTCCTCCAAGCCCATGACTATCTCTACCAGCAGGCTCTGGGTGAGCCTTCCCAGCAAGCACGTAAATGTTCCAGGGATGGACCAAGGGCCGCATCCTCATGGAGTCCCCGTCCCCACTGGCCTCTACTCTGCTCTGCTATCACTAACGATGTGTTTAGATTCCTGTTTGGCTTTGACTTTTTTGTTTTACTTTCCCTTGTTTTCTCCCTAGTAGCTGTTCTCATCCTTCTGGGCCAGCCCCATGCCTGACTCTTGTCTTACCCAGTCATTCTTACTGTCTCTTTCTCTCTTTTTTTTGTTCTTTCCATGAACCTTCTGCTCTAACCTCTGATTCCACCTGCTTTTCCCAATTGTATTTTAGGGTTCTGCCTTTAAATCTTGTGTCTGGGGCAGGCACTGGAGTCTCCCTTCTCACCTACAGACACAGCTGTCAGATGTGACCCCTGGACATCAGCTCTGATCACAGGAATACATGTGTCTCACCTGGGCGGGATCCACATCGTTTAGCATAACTACCGACGTGCAGTGATAATCTAGGACCAGCCGCCAGAAGTCCTTAACTGTGTTTGGCAAAGGATGCTGGGTGACAATGAAAGCTGAAGGTTGTTTATAGCTCTGAAACACAAACCAGAAAGATCCAAATATACCCAGGAAAATGTGATAGGAGGAGACAAGTCTGCCCACATGGAGACTCGCAGGCCCAAACACAGAACACATTACCATCAACACGAACAGAGAACTTATCTATAAAATAACATTATAAAACTGGCTTAGCTTGGTATCAAGAAAACTCAATATCACATATATCTTTTTGCTATTTCTATTAGGAGTCTATCATCCCTATACATAATTATTAAAATAGAGATTGTTGTTGTTGTTATGTGCTGTCGAGTTTAACTTTAAAGTTGAGCACAATTAAAATAGTTTTACTTTTCTCAAAATATGCTTGTTTGCCATTTGTGTTTTTAAGAGTACTACCTGCTTCAGCCATAAAATTATAGCTGTTCTTTGCAACTTAGGCAGATTCAAACACATTTAGGTTCACTTTTACTGATAGTCCACTGCTAGTGAAGTGAAAATTTGCACATTTGCTCTGAAAATATTCATTCACTTTCCCCATCAATTGAATAGCGAGTGTTCATTCAGTGAGAGGGAAACAGAATGACAGGCGGAATGAGTTGTGTGTGATATGTGCTGACAGGCAGTTCTGCCCTCTTGCTTATTACTGCCAAAGTCAGGAGAAATGTGGCCAGAAAGAACTCATGCCACCTTACTGCTCAGGGACGTAAAAGCCCCCTCCTGCTGTCTGGCCAGCAGCCTAAACCCAAAGTGCTCCTGGGGCACCTGTGGCAGGTTTCACCAAATACTTTCAGGTTGGTTGTGTCAGGGACCAAGAAGCTCAGCCCTGACACAAAACATGTGTGGGCCTGTAATGTACTTGGATGAAAAGACTGTGTCAGGAAGAGAAAGAACAGGTGTGTTGAGCAAGGGGGGCTTTCCTGTCCCTCTGGGAGGACAGTGGGCTTACGTCCATCAGGGCAGCATTGATGTAGTTGCTGCTCTCCCCATCGATGGTGATGAGGAAGGGCAGGCAGCGGTCTGGGGGCAGGATGTCCATGCACCGGTTCTTCTCGTGGTTCCGTGGCAAAAGCGCTATACTGCAGTCTTCTACTCGCAATGTGGGTGTCACCATATTTAGGGTCTGAAGGCCAAGGACATACATAGAGGAAAGATGGCTAGACATCTGTCTAAGGTCCAGAATATAAGAGGCCAAAGTTTCCCTTCCTGATCCCCCACCACACACACAACTCCTGTACCACACATACCTCTAAACAAATTCCCTCACATACCCCCACACAAACCCCTCACCACACACAACTCCACATAATCCCTCTACCACACAGACTTACACACAGAGCCCCCATTCCACACATCGCCACACAGATTTCCCACCACACGAACCTCCACACAACCTCCCCACCACATCTACACATATCTACACATAAAACCTCCACCTTATATCCCTCGACGCAAACCCCCACCACTTAGCCATTCGCAGAAATCACCCTACCACAAACCTGCACACAAACTCCCCTACCAGACACACCTACATAAACAGAGCCCTACCACACATAAAGCACCCACCACACACAGCTCCACACAGTCCCCCCGAACACTGACCATACTTACCTCTATACCAGACAACTACAACCCCCTCCATATAAGTACACCTTCCCCTACACAGTAACACACCCCTACCCCCATCCCCTTTTCAACCTGTATGCAGAGCAGATTATCTGAGAGGCTGGGCTCTATGAGGAGATGTGGCGTCAGGATTGGTGGATGATCTATTAACAATCTCCCTTATGCAGATGACACAACTCTGCTTGCTGAAACTGAGGAGGACCTCATGCACTTACTGCAGAGGGTCAAGGACTGCAGCCTTCAGTATGGACTGAGGCTCAATGTCAAGAAGACAAAAATTCTCACCACTGGACCAATTGGTAGCATCAGGATGGATGGCGAAGAGATTGAGATTGTTCACAGCTTCAGTTTGCTTGGCTCCACGGTCAACACTCTTGGCACAAGCAGCCAGGAAATAAAAAAACGTATTGCAATGGGAAAGTCTGCTGTTAGAGACTGCTCTAAAGTACTTAGGAGCAAGGGTATCTCTCTGGAGAGTAAGGTGCGCCTGATACAGGCCATGGTCTTTGCAGTCACTTGTTATGCATCAGACAATTGGACAATGACTAGGGAGGATAGAAGGAGAATCGGTGCCTTTGAGCTGTGGTGCTTGAGAAGAGTATTGAATGTACCGTGGACTGCCAAGAAAACAAACAGATTCATCCTGGAGAGGGTTAAACGAGGCTACTCCTTGGAGGCAAGGATTCTGGGGCTTCATCTGACATACTTTGGACATGTTGTAAGGAGAGACAGGTCCTTGGAGAGACACATCATGCTTGGGAGGGTGGAGGGACAGCACAGGAGGGTAAAGCCCTCTATGAGGTGGATTGATTCAGTGACTGGGGTAATCGGGATGGGTGTGTCAGAGGCAATGTGATTGACACAGGATAGAGCAGGGTTTAGGGCTGTTGTACATAGGGTCGCTATGAGTCAGAAATGACTCGACAGCACATAACAACAACAACAACCCGAATCCCCTACATGCCTTCCCACAACCACACCTTCATCCTCACAGAGCCCTATTCCACCTTTACACATACACTATTCCCACACATTCCCACACACCTCCACACAATAAGACCCCATTACTACTCCCGACATGCCTCCACACAACCACAGCTCCCCCATTCCCACATACCACATACATCCCCCCTTATACACCAAGAAACACCTGCCACACAGACCTCACCCCACCTCACACATGATCTCTGCCATTCAAGATGCATTTTGACACTTCTTTTCACTCACTGGATCTTGAGAGGGTCAGAGGCAGGGCACCAGGGCTGTCTAGTGTGCTTGATGCTGCACATGAAGGGATGTGGAAGGTGTAAGATGCTGGAAAGTTTGTCCAAGGACCAAGTACATTTAGACAAGGCTTGAACTTGAGCAATTCAGTGAAGAAATGCTGCCTGGGAAGTTTTCAGTGGTGCTGGGTTTCTGAGGACACCTTGGTGTCTAATTTTTGGGAGCAGGGAATGGATCTGTTACCATAAGTGGTCTTCAGGTAATTTCTTCATCTTGCCCACAGGGCCATATGGCAGTGTCTGGATATATTCTGGCTGCTACCACTGAAGTGGGATGGTGGTGATGTTACCCATGTAAAGGCCAGGGATGTTGCTAAATGTCCTAAAACAAAGGACTGTCCCCAGAAAGGACTTCAGATGCCAGTGGTGCTGAGCTTGAGAAAGCCTTTTCCAGTTCACGGGTCTAAGGGTGACTAGGAGATCCTCTGTAAGAAGCTAGGCTGCCTCCTCTTTGCTATGACTTACCCGGAATTCCTCTTTAATTTGGCTGGAATTTGTCTGAGGGTCCAGTTTGTTCATGTCATAGTACAGTGACCTCACTTGGGAAGCAGGGACAGAGGTATCTCCACAAAGGCAGGCTTCCAGGATGGCGTCGTGGATGAACACATACTGCTCCTGGTCAAGCAGAGAGGCCAGTTAGTGACAGAGAAACGACGATGCTCCAGGGGGTTAAAGGAGAAAGAGGACACAGCAATAACTTCAACCCCACTTACTGCACGAGAGAGAAAGGTGCTGGCATCAGCAGTGCATGTCTGACATAGGAGGGCCATGACCCTGCATTCCAGGAGGTGGGTTAACACCCAGGGCCAGAGGCCTGTTCCTGTGGATAAGCTAGACAGCCAAGGGCTCTGAGCACTGGACTTGCTTGACTGAGGGAGCAGGCACTGATAAGCCTCAGTAAATGTGGCTACAAACCCTCAGTTCTGATCCTGTTCACATGAACTCAGTATTTCAGGTGTAAAGTTTACTCCTCAAATGGAAAGATTTCCTAATCAAATTATAATCATAAGGAAGATCTAAAAAAATCTGACACTACTGTAAAATGAAAATGTTCAGAGCACTGAGGCCCTCTGATTTTAAAACATGATTTTTTTTAAAAAAAATTTCTACTGCCTTATTTACAAAATTCGAATACACTGTCTTCAAGAACAAATTTTTCAATTTCCCTCACCTTCCCACCCATCAAATTGTACAACCCCATGATTAATCCCCGCTTCCCCTTGCTTCCACCCTCTCCACCCCTCTTGGATTCTTTTTGTTGTTGTTGTTGTTGTTTTGGCTTTTTTTTTGTTTGTTTTTAATACAAATGCCTGACTGTGCTCAATCTTCAAGCTGCATGCATGAAAAACTGGCCAGCCCAAACAGTGTATTAATCATTAGCAAATGGAACTTGAAGAAGTCTACTAAGTGCTTCCTTATCATTAAGGTAGTACAAGTACTTATACTGTAAAACTGATGTGTAGCTTGATCTTTAGGGGACAGGACCACCAACCAATACATGCAGATTTTGTGTGTTTGTGGACAGAAGATACTTTTGACATTCAGTTTTGCTATACAGAAACAGAATGAATAAATGAACTTTTTTCTTTTCTTTTTACAAGAGGTAAGTAAAAGATTCAATCTGATTCTTCTGGGGGGGGGGGAGTTGAAAGTAGGTCTTCATTTTGCAGTCATCATCTGTACGAATTCTTCATAGTTGACCTGTCGGTCCCCGTCAATGTCTACTTCTCTGATCATTTCATCTACTTCATCTGTTAGTTTGTCATGACGTGACGTAGCTCTGCTGCACTGATGTAACCATTGCCATCCTTGTCAGAGACTTGGAACGCTTCACGGATTTCTTATTCACTGTCTGCGTCTTTCATTTTTCTAGCCATCATAATAAAAAATTCTGGGAAGTCAATGGTGCCATTGCCGTCAGTGTCCACTTCATTGATCATATGCTGAAATTCCGCTTCTGTTAGGTTCTGACCCAATGACCTCACGACGGTTCCAAGTTCCTTTGTTGTGATGGTGCCATTACCATCTTTATTGAATAGGGAGAAAGCTGATCAGCCACGGTGCCAGCGAAGGGGAAGCGCAGAAGGAGCAAGGGCGGCTGCACCAGCGCAGGGCTGTGATGGCCACAGCGCCTCTGCAGCTTCTCCTGCTGCTAAGACGCAGAGTGCGATGTGCCGACGTGCCGCCGCTGCCTACTGGGAGTAACAGCTACGCGACCGCAAGGCGCGCGAGCGGCTCCCGGCACCGCTGCCCTAGCGCACGCCTGCGCTCCGCGGTATATATATAACGCGTGTATCCCTCCGCCGCTGCCGCAGCCGCCCCGTGCCGAACAGTGCTGAGGCGGCCGGGGTCGCCCACCTGGTCCCCTGTTGGATTCTTATACTCATTCTACAATATTGATTGTATACAATATTTATCCTTGTGGGACTGAGTTAGTTCACTCAGCATAATGCTGTGCAGTCCCTCCCAAGTTAGGTAATAATTTACAAAAACATTGCTTTTGTGTGCTGCATAGTATTCCACTGTGTGAATGTACCATAATTTCTCAATCCATGTGTTGTGGTTGGACATTTGGGCTGTTTCCATATTCTTGTGATGGTGAATAATGCTGTTATGAACACTGGTGTACAAATCTCCATTTGTGCCTCATCATGAATTAAAGTGCTAATTGCTTCCACATCCACAGAAGAACTGTGTGTATGCAAAAGAAATCCACAGTGCAGAATGGGCACTGGATGTTGAACTGCTACGGGTTTTCCCTCACAAGTGATCAGTAAAGCTTTATCATATTAATTACTGCCTCTAATTGCATTAGCTGATGAATGAATTTATAAAACACAATGCATAGGAATGATTGCATGAAACATAATGTGAATGAACAATAGTGTGAAACACATGTATATGAACATTGTAGCAAACTGATGAGGACTGAGAAAATGAATGTAGCAATATTTGAGAAAGTACATTAAGAGCAAATTATTATCTTTAAAATACTTTTTTCCAAAGAAAAGAGATATGAGAGTTTGTATTTTTCCCCCTGTATGTGTGTTTGAAAAACTGAAATTAAGTTCACCAATGGCTTCTGTAAAACTTTATTATACAACCAAGGGGTTTCTTGTTTGTCCTTATACTTCATGCATCATTTTTTAGATAGTTGGTGTTATGCCTAATAAAAGTGGTAAAATATCTGTGAAATTATAAATTTCCTAGGAACAGAACCTAATACTATTTCTCAACATCTGACATTTCTGGTGCCTCCTGACTTCTAGTTTCTAGAGTCTATGGGCTGCACAGATGCCCCAAGGTGCTAGATTATGGACATGGAGGGGTTTGAAACACTGCTGGAATTGCCAGCACCCACAGAGAAGGAAGCCAGAGTGCTCTCTGGAGGCAAAGATGATGAAGCTTTGTCTCACATTCTTTGGACATGTTACTAGGAGAGGCTATTCACTGGAGAGGGACATCACACTTGGAAAGGTGGAGAGCTGACAAAAGAGAGGAAGACCCTTGACCAGGTGGACTGACACAGTGACTATAGCAATAGACTCGAGTGTGTCAGAGATTGTGAGGTTGGCACAGGATAGGACAGAGTTCAGATGTGTTGTTCACAGGACTGCTATGAGTCCTACTTTCCTTGACAGCACCTAACAACAACTTGGAGAAGAATAAGTATAGAGATTACCCTAATGATGCCTGGCTATTCTCCAGAGGGGCTTGACTCTAGCTATCAGCTGATTGAAAGATTTACAAAGAATGCTAGGGTAATCCTGAAAGCTACGAAAAAGACACCGACCTGGTCCCATAACCAGACACATGGAGCAAATGTACTTATTGGCAGCAGACTCTGCTACTTGGAAAACTCCAGACTTTGAATATGTTTATGAAAGGAAAACTAAAATGGAAAGAGTGAGGAAGGAATGAAACAGGAGATTGCCAGGATAGTTCTTCCTTCAGGGGACTATGCACATACTGCTGTGATACTGTCCTCTTGTCCTGAGGCTTGTAGGTAGAAAGGAGCAGGCACCTCAGGGACAAGAACTCGGGACTAAGGGCCCCTAGTACCTCCGTCTGCACCATGTTCACCCTCCGTGAGCGCAGCTCCCGGACACAGTTGTAGATGTCCACCACTCCTTCTCTCTCTGCCATGTCCAGCATGATGTCAATGACGATGAAACAGCCAGTCCGCCCGGCCCCAGCACTGCAAGAAAACAGAGGTCTGTCAGTGGCAGGTACAGAGATCAATGAACTGCTTATTTTAGAAACAATGCACACAAAGGGATATGCTCTGAGAGCTGCAGAGCTTTCATAAGGTCAAGTTCAGATGTTCCATTGCCCCAAAGGAGACCTGTGCCCATCAGCCACTGTGCTTCTGGATGGGGCCCTGACCACTGCTTACCTGCAGTGCACAACCAAAGGGCCTGCGTTGGGGGGATTCTTGGACTTGACCTGCCGTACGAAGCCCAGTAGCCCCGTGGCATGGTACGGGACGCCGTGATCAGGCCAGCCGGTGAAGTGGAACTGTCTGATTTCCCGGATTTCATGAACACCTCTCTGCCCACAACACCGGCCGCAACATAGGAGGGGAGATAAAGAGAATGAGCAATAAGCAAGACAGCCAGGGGAGTGCAAAGTACCTACAAGGTGAGCAGGGCTTGAAAACTCTGCAGGACGCCTGCGAAGAAGATCAGCATTAGAGTTAGGCCATGATGGGAAAGTGTGACCACCTGGAAGAGGCTGGTGAGTGTGGAAGTGGAAGGGGAAGAGATGTTGGGTTGAAATGCTTATGTGCACATGCAATTCCAACAAACTTATGGGTCTTTGCATTCTTTGAAATTCCTTTCTAGAAAAAAACAGTGTATGCTCATGTTTATGAGTCACCTGGAGGCTGTGTGTGCTATGAGGTTAGGGGCAGAGTTCAGATCCAAGGGACTGTGTGCTCCATTGTTCACTGGTGTTCTGGAATCTCTCTGGACAGGTCCACAGCAGGGTGTGAGTCAAAAACGGCTACTTCCCATCTAGGTAGCTCAGAGGATTCATTTTCATCTGTAACCTAGCATATAACCTTTTTCCTCTGACTCCAGAAACAGTTCACTCAATTGTCAATGACTGGGGTGACCACATGACACCTGGGTCTAGCCTCTAAGATATGAGGACACTGTCTCTGCCTGTAAAGGGGTGTTACTATCTGCTTGTGGGAAACAGGCAACATACACTAAGGAAATCAAGAGACGTCATTACTAGAATCAATGTTTTATCAGTAAATTGGAGAGGGTTGCCGGGCCTTTGAACTCTGCAGGGAACGTAAAATGAAAAGCTAAATAAGTTGTTTGTGAGAACAATTAAGGTTTATTTATATACATTAGTTTATTCCCTAGCTATGTTGCTAACGAAAAGGCTGCATGTCTAGTGGTTCAAATCCAGCAACAGGTCCTCAGGAGAAAGACTGGTAGACTCCTTCATTAAGACCTACAGCCTCATATCCTGATGGAGGGTTGCCATCCACCAGCAGTTCCGTAGGAGAGAGATGGCCCATCTTCTCCTGTGCAATTTACAACTTTGGAAACCCAATGGATGGTTAACTATGAGTTGGTATGACAATATCAATGAGTGTTTTCAACTGAGATGTATCAAGAACACAAATTTCTGTTCTGTTTCAACGTTTTCCTGAGTTATAGTTATCAACCAGGAAGCGCCACTGTTACAGTTACACTGTACACTGGTACAGTTTGTAGGAAGCTGTGGCACTAACTCAAAGGTCACACCTCTCTGAAATCCATCAGGCTCTAACAGAGAAAGACGGACAGTATCCTCTAGTGCTGTTTATAGCCTCAGAAGACTGCTAGCGGGCCAGCAAGGAGCTGGTTATAACTCCATGGAAATTAGTTTCATTTTTTGGGTTTTTATCGAAATGATGTTTTAAAGAAAAAAGACTGTTTTGGATGGAAAACTTACAGAATGAAGGTTAGTGTAATTTGGGTATAAAATGTAATTTTCCTTATTCATAGAATATTTACCAAATACTGTGTTTGTGTGAGGCCCTGGGTTTGGTGTTATATCTTAAACACCCGCTGATATGATCACATTCACCATCAACCACTATTCACACATATAACCAAGGAAGGAACAAATTCGGAATTCCTTTCCTATTTGCTTTCATTCCTACTAGCTGAGGCAAATAATCACAGAATTTAAGATAAGCCTTGTTTGCTATCATTATGTTAGTCTAATAGCCCACAAATGCTGAGGCATCATTTCTCTGTGACATGCTACTTTTCAAAGGAATTTAAGTATTAAGAAATCTGGCAGTCAGGGAGTCACAATGACAATATTGTCATCTGCTAAATAAGTTCCATGATCCAGAGTTATAACACTCAGTAGTTAGGACACCAAGTGTCTTACCACAGAAAGCATGGTAAAGTTTGGCCATGTATGGTGACTCTGGATGGGATGCTCCCAATTTGGTGATAAGGGTCACAGAACTGAGAAAACTTACCATAATAGATTTTTATTCCAAGCGAATTCTACTCCCATGCAGTGTGTGTTTTTTTTTTTCTCTATTTCAATTGGTTTACTCTTTGGCACGCTAGATTTTTAACTCCAGCACCCTCAAGTCCTGAAACCCACACATTTTGAGGCCTCTGCTGATCTCTCCACACTCCTGTCTCCTGACAAGGGAAATGTCAGTTTCTGGTATCCAGAAACCTTCTCAGGTGACTAGCCCTGCTAAAGGGCTCACTATTTATAAGATCAGCAGAGGACACAGCTCTGGAGTCAACTCTTCGCTCTTGTTCATCAGCACTGTGGTTTCTTTCAATGTTGTTTTGTAACCAAAATAAAATTCTCTCCAAATGATAGCGATAGTTGTGGCTTCTCTACTAATCATTAGAGAAAAAAGTCCCCACAAAATAAAAACAGTAAGAAAATAAGCTATCATTGCTATTCCAAGTGATACTCCAAGTAATAGCAATGAGAATTCTATATTTTTTTGTCTCTTTTACTTTTTAAATTTTTTTTATCATTCCTATACATTGTGTTACTTTTTATTTTTTTTGGGTTTTTACCCCATTTACATTGCGTTTCATGCAATCACAAGTACTAATGCTGTATGAAAAGCAATACTTACTTTCCCAGGTAATAAAACAGGAAAGAACCCAAGCCACAAAATAGTGTCAGCACAAAGCGGGGTAATCAGTTCTGTTGAGGGAATGAATTATTTTACACATGCTCACTCTCTGAGGCAGTTGGATTCCTGCCCCTTCTGAACCCCAGGCATTTCCTGGGTAAGGAAAATTTGGTACTATTGTCACTTCCTTCCTGCTGGATATGAAAAAGGTGGTGGTGGTTGCGGTGTATCATCTTCTGTGAACCAACCCACAGCTGAACCTCCAGGGGGTTTCAGAGGCAGTTAATCACACTCATGGGAGGAGATTACCCATCATTCTCCTGCAGAGCAGTTGGTGGATTTGAACTGTGTGCCTTTGAGACTGCAGTGCAGCTTCTTACCACTAGGCCTCCAGAGGTCCATGGAAAATGGTAACCTTTGGAAATGTCTTCCTCTTGACATGACAGACACATTGTTGTTGTTGTTGTTGTTATGTGCCGTCGAGTCGTTTTCGACTCATAGCGACCCTATGCACAACAGCCCTAAACCCTGCTCTATCCTGCGCCAACTGCACCGCCTCTGACACACCCATCCTGATTACCCCAGTCACCGAATTAATCCATCTCATAGAGGGTCTTCCCCTCCTGCGTTGCCCCTCAACCCTCCCAAGCATGATGTCCCTCTCCAAGGACCCGTCCCTCCTGGCAACATGTCTAAAGTATGTCAGACGAAGCCCCAGAATCCTTGCCTCCAAGGAGTAGCTTGGTTTAATCCTCTCCAAGACAAATCCATTTGTTTTCCTGGCAGTCCAGGGTACATTCAGTACCCTTCTCCAGCACCACAGGTCAAAAGCATGCACTCTCCTTCTGTCCTCCCTAGTCATTGTCCAACTCTCTGATGCATAACAAGCGATTGTAAATACCATGGCCTATATCAGGCGCACCTTAGTCTCCAGAGAGACACTGTTGCTCCTGAGTACTTTAGCGAGGTCCCTAACAGCAGACTTTCCCATCGCGATACGCTTTTTGATTTCCTGACTGCTGGTGCCAAGAGTGTTGACTGTGGAGCCGAGCAAACTGAAGCTGTGAACAATCTCAATCTCTTCGTCATCCATCCTGACGCTGCCAATTGATCCAGTGGTGAGAATCTTTGTCTTCTTGACATTGAGCCTCAGTCCATACTGAAGGCTGCAGTCCTTGACCCTTCACAGCAAGTGCATGAGGTCCTCCTCAGTTTCAGCAAGCAGGGTTGTGTCATCTGCATAACGGAGATTGTTAATAGACCTTCCACCAATCCTGATGCCACAATTCTCCTCATAGAGCCCAGCCTCTCGGATAATCTGCTCTGCATACATGTTGAAAAGGTATGGAGACAGGATGCATCCCTGGCGTACACCCTTCCCAATTTTGAACCATGCAGTGTTACCCTGCTCTGTTCTGACTACTGCCTCTTGGTCCAAGTATAGGTTTCGTATTAGCACAATTAAATGTTCTGGGATTCCCATTCTTCTCAGAGTCAGCCACAGTTTGTTATGATCCACACAGTCAAATGCCTTTGCATAATCACATTAAGTTATTAAAAATATGTTCAGCTTTGAGGTATATACATATATAAGTATATAAATGGAAATATACCAGACAGAGGCAAAACGGGATTCCCTCAGTTTCCCACCTGCAATATGTGTGTTTGTTCTGTAGAATAAAGCACAAATCCAGCTTTCTGCCTTTAGACCCACTGGAACATACTCTCCAAGAAATCAGAATTGCCAGAATCTCAAAAGTACATGCTTTACTATTTCCCCCCCCCTTTCTCCTTTAATGAGAGTCTAAAACCTATTTGTGGAGCTCCACCAGAGTACGAATGATTTGTTTTTCTTAAAGATTCCAATTGCCCGGTTAGAACATCACTAACATGTCATTTTGATTTCCCCAAATGCATTAACAAGTCCCCTCCTCACCACGCTCTCCCCCCTCTTCACTGGCTGTCTAATGACTAAAATAATCGGCTGTTCCAGAAGCCATTTATGAACAGCTGGGGATAGAGAGAGTACAATAAGAGGTTAAAAAAGAGCAAAGAAACAAACAAATCCTTCCTTTAGCAACAGACATGCATTTGCAGCTTATTAGAGAGCTGACTATTGTTCAAAGAACTCCAAGTTTAAGTGATAGCTTTTGGATGAAAAAAAAAATTTAAAGAAAAAAAAACTATTGAAGGTCTTTTATCACTATCTGTTTTAATGCAGTTATTCATGAGTGCTCTTGCCAAGAGCCATACAAAATCCTCCATGTGTAGATTTTAAGGTTCCCCCCTAAACTTGCCTAAGAAGGGAAAAAAGGAGACATCAAATTGCAAGGCTCAGAACTTGAAGAATGGAGTCCACCAGAACTCCACATTCTTTGAATTCTCAAAGCTTCCTGCCTGCTTATTAAAAAAGACAGGGCCAAGGGGGAAAAAAATGCTAAACAGTGGGAGAAAAAGATTAAAGTAAACTGCAGTCATTTCAGTCTCATGATTCTATGAAAAATATGGATTTGAAAACCAACATGGATGGTTAAAAAAAGAAAAACCAGGGTAAATTACCAGTATGCAGATACTGCAACTTTCTAAAATGGCTCGTGTTAACCCAGCAAGTGTATTTAGGTGCAATGAGAAGAGAGTCCAAGGCAGACCAAGCACCAAGCACGCAGCAGTTCATTTACCACCAGCTACAAGGGCACCTGCTATAGTAAAAAGAGGGAAGGCTTACACTGAACATGCACCACAAGATGGGCACATCCAGTGCAGGAGTGCCACGCTCCACTCACAGAATCAAGGCCGAGACCTTAGAGACAACCATGTATCCTTCTTAAGAAGAGGCCCAGAAGGCAGGGTCCCCAGTCCCACAGCCCCCAGGCTTCCAACTGTCTACCTGTGATGCTGCTCTTGACGGGCTGCGGTTGTTTCTCTCCGGCCCTTCACTATGTTAGCAGGAAAGGGGAATAAGAAATTGCCTCTGAGATATACAATATTTCCTATAGAAAGAGCTCACCCATGCTCCTGGGATGAGACTGAGCAGGACCCGCAACACGACAACTACAAAAGACTAAATGGAAATGATTAAAAAAAGAGAATGAGGAGGCTGAATATGCTGTTCAAGGAAGTGTTTCCCAGGGCTCACACATGTCTAGTCATTGGTGTACAGGCAGGTCACCTGTACTTGGAACATCCATCAGTCCATGTTAAACCACAGACCTGAAATGTCTAAAGGGATTAGAGTCAGTTTCTCAACACTGTACTAATTCAGTAATGTGAAATCCATGTGAGCATGGAACAAAAAGACAAACTGTGAACAAACATAAATGGGTAGGATAGAAAAGGTAAAAGACAAAGACAGTACTTTCATTGTAAATCATAGATTCTTATGAGATGAGAATGATTTAATGTGAATATAATCTAAAGATACAAGTGAACATTTACAGGATCAGAGAACACATGCAATCTTGAGAAATCACTAGCTAGAGTCAACCTGTATTCAGGTGTGACTACACATAATGATCCTATACATGTGAATGAGGCCAGAATTCCACTAACATGCAACCACAGCTTATAAAAAGCAGTAGAAAAGCTTACCTTTTCAACAGCAAATGTTCTTATCACATATTCTGCTAGCAGCTCTGTTTCTATTAGAGTAACTTTAATGTCTTTGTATATCTCTGTGTCATCTGGCCAGTATTTGCAGCACTTGACCTTTTGAAAACACAAAGGAAATTAAAGGTTAGGATATTGTTTTTAAACCTCTACCAAAGCCAGGTCACTAGGATTTATATGATAAGATCTGAACACACACACACACACACACACACACACACACACACACACACACACAATCTGCACAAAAAAGCAAAAGATAAGCTGTACACTTAAAAATAAATATTGTGTGTGTGTGTGTGTGTGTATTTAAGATCATGTAAGCTTTTTCCCTTCTCCCAGAAGAAAAGAAATTTTATTTATAGGAGAGGCCAAATTTAGGAACAGGATCTAAAGCAAAGACAAACTGTTTACAGTAAAATATCCCAGTTCCAGGAACTATCCATTTTCTGTGTATCTCTACTCAAGAGGTTGGCTTGGAAAAATAATTCTAAAAGATAATTTACAATATATTATTATGTTGTTATATACCAGGGAGTCAAAAATCAAGCCACTGCTGACCCTTCAATGGGTTTTCAGAGGCATAAAGCACCTAGGAGGAGACTGTCGTTCTTTCTCTCTTGGAGCAGCTGGGGGATTTGAACAATGTGCCTTTTGGCTGGCAGTGTGGCTCCACAGAATTCCCATAGTTTTAGGTTTTGTATATTTCAGAAATCAGTTGACAACCTTTGAGGAAGGATAAGCATGATATATCACAGCCAACATTAAAGATAAGTGTTTGGATTTTTTTTCCTCACTAATGAATGAAGTGGTTATGTGGTTTTCTTGAATTAGAACCACAGATTAATTTTAATTTCATTAAATGTGATATCTAAATCTTGAGAGAATATGAATAATCTTTTTTTAGTATGTGAAGTCATTAGCCTGAAGATTGTTCAGAAGAAGAAACATGTTTGGCTTGTTCCTTCCTACCAAACATGTTCAGAAAAGGGAACCATTTCCAGGCTGGAAGGGTTCTACTATGGCCCTGTTTCTCATGCGCAGAACTCGATTTCTAACTTTGTGGGCATATTTCTGTGAATACCCTGGCACCACCTCAGAGGCGGGACATTAAAAAGATAATTCTGTTCCACATCACAGTTGTCAGAACAGAGCAAGGAAACAGCACAGTTCAAAACGGGGATGGGTGTACACCAGGAATGTGTCTTATCTCCATATCTTTTCAATCAATACGCAGAACAGATTATTCAGGAGGCTGGGCTATATGAGGAGAAATACAGCATCAGGATTGGAGGTAGAGTCATCAACAATCTGCATTATGCAGATGACACAACCCTGCTTGCTGCAACCGAGGAGGACCTGAAGCTTGCTGCAGAAGGTCAAGGACTACAACCTTCAATACGGATTGAAGCTCAACATCAAGAAAACAAAGATTCTTACCACTGGGGCGATTGGCAGCATCATGATAGATGGTGAAGAGATCAAGATTATTAACAGCTTTAGTTTGTTTGGCTCCAAAAGTCAACACTCTTAGTACCAGCAGTCAGGAAATCAAGAGACGAATTGCATTGGAAAAGTATGCTGTCAGAGACTTCACCAAAGTACTGAAGAGCAAAGGTAACAGTCTTGAGACTAAGGTTCACCTATCCAGGCCATGGTCTTTGCAGTTACTAGGTATGCATCACAAAGCTGGACATGACTAGGGATGGTAGAAGGAGAATCGATGCCTTTGAGCTGTGGTGCTGGAGAAGAGTATTGAATATATATCATGGACTGCTAGAACAAATAGGTCTGTCCTAAAGAGGGTGAGACCAGGCTGCTCCTTGGAGGCAAGGATTCTGAAGCTTTGTCTGACATACTTTGGACATGTTTTGCAAGGAGGGACCAGTCCTTGGAGAGTGACGTCAAGCTTGGGAAGGTGAAGGGGCGGGGCAAGAGAGGAAAACCTTCAATGGGATGGATTGATTCAATGACTGGGGTTATGAGGTTAGGTTTGTTAGAGACAATAAGATTGGCACAGTACAGAGCAGGTTTTAGGGCTGTTGTACATAGGGTCACTATGACTTGCACGAGACTTGACAGCACATAACAAAAAAATGATGCTACAATTTTCACAGTGTTGCTGTTAGGCTATTTTCAAATATGTCCCAGAGTCATGGTGAGTGGCCCCTTGTACACAATAGCTGTCATGCTCCTGTTTCCATGCCACCCCCATGAAAGGACGTGGCCTGGACTGGTGAGATGCACACTGGCTTTCACTGACTGATTCTGGGAATAGATCACCAGGCAAAACCATGGTGGCTCCTTCTTTAGAACCCAATCCCCAGGTCTAACAGTGTCTTTGAATTATCTCTCAAATATATTTTCCAATTTTTTTTTATTCCCTTGGCTACAATAAATTTTTTTTTTAAATTTTCTTTCCAGTGAAGTCTATGTCTTTATGATACATCTACATTCTTGCTCATTCTATCTGTTCTGGTTGTTTTTATCAACACGTTGCCGCACACTTTTAAAACGGATGACTGTGCTTAGAAACACATTTGCCGTCATTTGCGGCAACATGTTAACCTAGTTTCCCTACCACCACCACCCCTCCCCATTCTCAAGTTTGTTTTAAAAAGATTTTTGGCTCTTTGGCCTTATAATATAGGTGATCTTTCCCAACCAGCATAGAAACTATGGATGATATTTTTTCTTTTTTTGCATCAATTTGCTATTGATCATAGGGTTTAGTTTTGCTTGAAGCTATGAAGAATATCGCAGGACTTGGGGTTTCTTCCCTAACCAAGTCCAACAGAATGTTTTTTATCTTCTTTTCAGGGAATTTGAGTTTCTGTTTCACATTTTCTGGCAGTTATAATAGGACTCATCTACTGTGGACCTGATTAGAATGGTTGTTAGTGGTAGGAAGGTATCATTGATTCCTTCGAGTCTCAGGGTCAATGAAGCCATGGTTCATGGACCCTCTTTGTGCTGTAGATTAATTTCTTTCTTTTTCTTTTGTTTTTATTTGTTCATAATTGGATCTCAGATTATCACTTTCAAGTTTTTATCTCCAAACACTTTCACTAACCTAGAATACAGAATATACTTTTACGAACCATATATTATGTTAAAAGATTGAGATATTCCAAGAGACTAGGATCTTAATTCTTCAAAATTGATGTCCAATTGGACAAGGAGCTCAGTATATCTAAGTTGTATGTCTAACTGTGCCCACCATGTGCTTTATCACATGCATGGCCATATGTATATACACTCACATAGATGCCTGCATATTCTGGTAATTTCTTGCACTGAAATTCTATCCACAAAAAACCCCCCAAGTACTAAACTTAATTGCCCTGATTTGGAATCAATGTAACCCTGTAACCCTGCTGTATAGAACAGAACAGTCTTTCAGGTTTCTGATGCTAATCGTTTCAGGAGACACTGCCCCTTCCTTCTCCCACATACCAGCTAGCAGGTTAAAAGAACTGCTTTTTTAAACATGTACTTTGTGTTTTATACAATCATTTATCTAACGAATGACATATGTACACCTATTGTCATAGCAACATTATTCACAATAACAAGAAAAAGTAAAAGCCCATATGCCCATCAATGAATGAATGGATTGAGCAATTGTGGTACATCCAAATCACTGACTTTTTGGTTACTACCTATTCATAGGCTACTAATGTATTTTTTTCCACTGATGAAATACTAAATTGAAATCTTTCACAAGATCAATCTTTTTTTCTTTATACACAGGTACAATCCATATTGCCTTTGATCTTTACAGAAACAGTTTCAAGTCTTCTTCATGTTCAGCAAGCAAGGTTGTATCATTTGCATCTTGATACCATCGTCTTCTTCACATAGGCCAGTCTCTCAGATTATTTTACTGGCATACATACTGAATACATTCAGTGCACTGCCTCCTAGTCTCTGTACAAATTCTGAATGGATACAATTAACTGTTCTTGAATCTTCATTCTTTATAATATCATCCATGATTCACTATGATCTACACAGTCAAATGCATTTTCATAGACAATTTAACACAGGGAAGCAATCTTCTGAATATGGCTTGAGCTTATGACGGCTGTTTGTCAGTGTCTGGTGTAACTATTCCTGAATTTTCTTCAGCAAGACTTATTTGCATGGGGCAGTGTTTGATAACATATGAATGCTACTGGATCACCTTTCTGTGGAATGGGCACAAATATCTCTTAAAGTTGGCTGGCTAGGTTGTGTGTGCCATTGAATTAGAACTAACTCAGAGCTGACCTTCAAGCAGGTTTTCAGAAGCAGTTTAATCACACAAATGGGACTGCCCATTCTTCTCCCACGGAGGAGCAGGTGGGTCCAAACTGCATGCCTTTGTGATTATAGTGCAACTTCTTACCACGAGGTCATCAGAGAGCCCCTAAGGGCTCTTGCAGATTTCGTGGCATAGACAAGTAAGCATTTGTATTACTACTTGGAGATGGCAAAGACATTCTTCAGACTGGTATAGAAGAACTTTTTCCAGTTGGTCACAAATAGTTATCTTCAGCCTTGACTTTACTACTATCCTTTCTGCATATATGTTCAAGGACAGATGGGGTCCCTCAATCTCCAAATACTCCTCATGATTCAGATTCCTCATCATTCCTTTTGTTTACAATCTTTTTCTCCAATCTACACTTTTTTTTGTTGAAAATGTGTGCATTCTTCAAGTATCTCTGAGCTGTCATGCACCTCTAAAGACTTTACCCATAGACTTGAATTTCAGACCCTGATAAAACACTATTGTGCTAATATGATCATCCAAACCTAGTGCCACTATGACTCTTTTCGACTCTCCTATGTTTTCTGAGGCTGTAAATCTTTAATGGGAGGAGGTGACATTCTTCTTAAAATTCTTGATGGTTGTTTGTCATGTAGCTTCATCCCCTTACCTGCAGGTAACATGTGGCGGGTAATTACTGACACTTTATTTCTATACGCTTAGGTGGTGCACATGGCTTGTGCTTTACTAACCTGAGAGTTGGTAGTTAGAATCTCCACAAACAGAATCATGAAAAGAAGGCCTGATAATTTGATTATGGAAGGATTACATCAGGAACGCCCTA